ACTGATTCTTCACGCTAGGCTAATCCTTTGGCTTATTACGGATATGGGCCAATTTCTTTAGCTCTGAGATCGAGCTTCCAGATTGATCTTCCGGTCTTGGGCCCAATAAGTGATGGTTTGATTAAACAAAGTGTTCTTTCTAGACCCATTTCCAGTAATCTGAGTCGTGCCCGGCCCAGGTTATTTTTGGTATCCTCATTTGTGTGATACCCCTCGGATCCGAGACATGGGTTGATCAGGCCCAGGCCCAAACCCGAGGGAATATCAAACAATTAAAGTATTTTATAACGAACACAGATGACAAAATGAAATAAGAATAAATATTAAAAAGCTGAAATGAATACTAATATAGAATCCTCAACCTATAAAACTTAATAAAATCTAACATCCAAAACCTCCATGATTACAACTTGGGAATCCATCTAGTGGATCCCTAAATAAAATCCCAACTGAACTGAAAACTGAAAGTAAATAAAACTGAAATATCATGAGAAGTCCTACATAATCTGATAAATGGAAACTATCCTCGAACAGCACGATCAAGCTCTAAGGCTGGAACCGTCCTGTACCTGAAAAGAATAATAGAAGAGTGGGTCAGACCCACGAGCAAGTTCTAAACTAACTGCAATCCATACAGTGACCCGATATGCACATACACCGTAGATACCTCACAATATATATCTAGTCCATACATATATATATATCCACACTAAGGGACATTCACTGGACTATAGTAGGGGTCTCAACCTGAATAGAAGGCAATATGCGAAAACGCACCCAAGGGTGGGCATGAGTACCTAGACCTAACAGGGTACACCTACCTACTATATCCAGTTACGCATCCACTGCATATACGCACCCTAACCAACGACTCTGAGACTCAAGCTCATATCGTGGTACCATAATCATATATCTAAAATCCGTCCAAAAACCATAATATGTCATTCAATTATTTATTGAGGAGACATATAAAACATACTAGTTAGTCACTCAACTTATTCAGTTGATATAACTTAACCTTCATCCATTAATCCAGGAAGCCATTCAACTTAATCACAGTTGATCTGACTTAGTCACAGTTAGGATTTAATATTTTCCAGTCCATTCCTTTAATCCGATAGGTTAGGTTTAAGCGTTTTGAGCTAAACCATCCCTAGTATGTCACCGTCCCATACCAGTGCGTACAATCCTCCATATACATGTAAATTATAACATATATAATCGTTTAGCAATTTACAATCCAAAACCAATATCTAAATAATTGCAGAAAAATGTTTAAAGGTTCAGCAATTTAAATCCAAGAGTTAAACCATGTATTGTTTAACAGTTCAACAACTAGCATCCAGAGCATGAACAGATCAGTTTTAATAAATTAATAAGTCTATCATGCTTATAAATAAGTTTTAAAATCATAATATTGTCCAGGAAATTGTTAAAATTAATTCTAGCAATTCAGTTCCTTTTATCCATTAATAGTATGTTAGGTTGCATCTTTGCATACTGTTTTATTGTTTTAGCACCGAGCCATAAACTATGCTACAAGTTCAATTTGTTAATTAAAAGACTTCCTCATACATCTAAAATTTAATTTAGAATCATATTATAGCACCCTAAATTGTCAAATTAAAATTAGACAATTTAACTTCCTTCCAGCAGTTAACCGCACACAAGTTGTTAAATAACACACTGTTAATTCCATTAATACAAAGAGGGTATTTTATGGAATACAAGACCTTAATTACATCCTAAATTAATTACTGAAAACCCCATTAAAGTTTTAAAACTGTTCAGAAACCCCAAGTGCCCAAATAGTAGCTGAAAACTTTCAGTACGCATCAAAATGGAAAGAGCCTCTCTAAAAAAATAGAGCAGGCTCAAATCAACATTGAGCCGGCTCCAAAAAATTTTGGAGCAGGCTCAAAGCGCTTGGAGCCACCTCCAAAACACTTTGGAGCTGCCTCCAAAGGGGGGGAGCTGGCTCCAAACTTCTTGGAGCCGACTCTCTCCTCCTTTGAGCCCACTGTTCCGCTTCCTTCTTCTTTTCCGATGATCTGCTTCGACCCCGGCCACTTTCTACCCTTCAGTTGGTTTCTAAAACTGATCCTAAGGGTCTTCTTAATACCAAATAGCATCCCAATGATTTAATAACAACAATTGGAATTAAATACAAAGATTAAATTTGCTACCGAACTAAACATGTTTTAGGAACAAACTGAAACTATTTTGCAACAACAGTTCCATTCCAACCCCTCTGTTCCTCATCAATACTGAACCTAAGATCTTATATCATCCCATTAACATCCCCATGGTTCATTTATAGAAGATGGAAGCACGTACAGTAACAAAAATCACAACAGAACTTAACATGCTTTAAGGAACAAAACCGGAAGCAGACATGCACAAATTGTAAGCAGATTTGATTTTAATACAAATAGATCATCAATATAGCATATACTAAACACGTAAACCCTGATTAATAATTAATTAAAAACCTTAGAGGCTATCTAGGTGCACAGAACACGAGCTAAAAGGAAGGAGAAAGGAACCTGCAGTTTTGGTCTCAAAACTTTGTCACTGTCTTCCTATTTTCTAGCGAACACTGACCACCTTCAAGCCTCCTATGGTTTTGGTTTAATCCACCACAACTCTCCCTTAGTCCCCTATGTTCTCCTCCTAAGCCTTGTTCTGTTTTCTCTCGCTCAATTCTCTCACAAGTCTCTGTTATCTCTATATCTTTGGTATGTGAATAGGGGTTGTGTATTCTCAAAACCCTAAGTGGACATACTGTTCTATATATATAGAGACTTAACTAAACCCTATTCCCTGTATGTGTAGAGACAGAACCCTAATCTTAATCCTTGTCGGCCCATAACAAAACCGACGTTTTAAAACAGTGACGGCTACAAAATTTCATTCTACAGTTAAAACTATAACCTAATTAAATAAAATAAAACATTTAACTTAATCCAATTAAAATAAACCATGCAACTAAAATAAATATACAAATAAAATAATCAACCAATTTAAATAAAATAATTAATCAATTAAAGCAAAACAAAATCCAATTAAAACAACCATTAAATAAACAAACAAACAAATAACCAATTAAATAATTAAATAAATACCAGGACTATCATTTTAAAATTAGGGGTATTACATTCTTCCCCCCTAACAAAAGGAATTCCGTCTTCGAAATTCGCTCTTACCTTCTTCCAAAATTTCAGGAAATTGCGAGCGAATGACGTCCTCCTGTTCCCAAGTAGACTCAGCCTCATTGTGATGACTCCACTGGACACGAACTAAAGGAATAACCTTATTACGAAGGATTTGATCCCGACGGTCGACAATCTGACATGGTGGCTCCAAATAAGTTGCATCCGGCTGCAACTCAATCTCCCCAACATCAATATGCTGATACTGATCTTCATCTCGCAGAAATTTTCGCACCATGGAAACATGAAACACGTTGTGTACACGATCCAAATTATCCGGAAATGCCAACCGATAAGCAACAGCGCTAACTCGATCCGTAATCATGAATGGACCGACACCCATCACCACCATTGTTCCTCCTACAGCTATGGTCACTGACAAAACTCTGCCAACTGGGGAGATCATCCATCTTGACTCTCCCTCCAGAGGTGAGGAAGCAATCAATAATGGGGAGGGAGACAATGAACCGGCCGGTGGTGATGAGGCAGCCAAGGATGATGGAACAGGCAATGGGTCGGGTACAGGAGAAGATGTAACAAAATAACGTTCTGCTGGCTTTTGTACTTATTTCCTTTCATTTTAGTATCACTTTTTGTACATCAAGAACTATTTTATGGTGAGGAATGAAATGATAATTTTGTTTTGCAAAGTTTCAATACTCTAGCCTGTGCTTAAATGAATTGATAATTTAATTTTTCTATTTGTTTTTCATTTGATGCAAGTGTTTGGCATTCGGCTCTTAGTGCCATTTGCCACTTACTTGGCTAAGTGTTTGGCGCTCAGCTAGAATGCCACTTGCCACTTGATTTTTTTTTTTTTGCAAGTTATTGGCATTCGACTCATAGTGTCATTTGTCACTTACTTGACTAAGTGTTTGGCGCTCGGCTAGAATGCCACTTGCCACTTGAGTTTTTTGTTTTGTACAAGTTTTTGGCGTTCGGCTCATAATGCCATTTGCCACTTACTTGGCTAAGTGTTTGGCACTTGGCTAGAATGTCACTTGCCACTTGATTTTTTTTGTGCAAATTTTTGGCATTCGGCTTATAGTGCCATTTGTCACTTACTTGGCTAAATGTTTGGCGCTCGTCTAGAATGCCACTTGCCATTTGATTTTTTTTTTTTTTTTTTTTTTTTTTTTTTTTTTTGTGCAAATGTTTGGCATTTGGCTTATAATGCCATTTGCCACTTACTTGGCTAAGTGCTTGGCGCTCGGCTAGAATGCCACTTGCCACCTAGTTTTTTATTTTGTACAAGTATTTGGCGTTCAGCTCATAGTGCTATTTGCCACTTACTTGGATAAATGCTCTTTGTTCAATTACCTTTTGAAACCAAATGAATTTTTTTTATAAATTTTGAAGAATCTATACATTTGTAAGAACGTAATTCTAAATGAACATTGTTCAGAATGTAATTCAATCTTTTCTGGTAGTACCTTTGTAGAGATGTGGCATTCCATGGTTTGTTGACTAATCTTCCAGCCATGGTTTCTAAATTGTATGCCCCCTTTCCTATGGCTTCTGCAACTCTGTATGGACCTTCCCAGGGTGACATAATCTTTTTGACAATTCCTACCTTCTTTTTTAAAACTAAATCACCAAGCGCAAAGTTTTTATGTTTCACCTTTTTGTTATGACTATTCATAAGCGTTTGCTGATATGACGCGAGCCTTACTATTGCTGCATCTCTTTTCTCTTCCAGCAAATCGAGGTTAAAATTTAACATACTATCGTTCTGCTCTTGATTCCATGCTAAACTTCGAATAATTGGAACTAAGTGCTCAACCGGTATTACTGTTCGATGCCGTACGCCATAGCGAACAGACTTTCTCCAGTTGGACGTCTAAGGGTTGTTCTATAAGCCCACAAGATGTTCGGAAGTTCATTCAACCATTTACTCTTTTCGTCCTCAAGCTTCTTCTTAATACAAGCAAAGATTATTCTGTTAGTAATTTCAGCTTGACCGTTCGCTTGGGGATGGCTAACCGTTGCCAACTTTTGGTTGATTCCATACTTCTCTAGCAACTCCTTCACTTGCTTACTATCAAGATTTGTCCCATCGGTACACCAAAGCGACAAATGATATTAATCCAAATAAAGCACTTTACTTGAGTCTAGGTTACACTGGGATACGATTCTGCTTCTACATATGTGGTAAAATAATCTGTTGCAAGCAAAACATATTTGTTCTTTGATCTCGCGGTTGGCAGAGAGCCAACCACATCCATCCCCCATTACGCGAAAAGCCATGGTTTGGCCATTACATGCAAGTCTTCAAGTGGTTAGTGGATCAATGGTTCGAACCTTTGGCACTTATCGCACCTTCTAGAAAATTCTTCTACATCTCGTGACATGCTTGGCCAAAAATATCCTTGCATCATTGCTTTATGCGCTAGAGATCTCCCTCCAGAATGATTGCCACATACGCCCTCATGGATAGTTCGCAAGATCTGCCTAGCCTCTATGAAGGTAACATATTTCAAGTACGGACCCGAGAAAAATCTTCTATACAACTGATTATGTACAATGGCATACTTTGCATCATTCGATTTGATTTTTCTCGCCTCATCTCTCCGTTCGGGCAATACACCATCTCGTATGAAAGTCATGATTGGATCAATTCAGCTTGGCTCATATGGTATGACATTTACTTGTCAAGGATCTAAGCTGGATGGTTCCTCAAAGATAGATGGCTGACATAACGCATCAATTGGAATCACTTTTGCCAGTGTTTCTCCAGAACTTGACGCACTACAAGCTAATCGATCGGCATCCTCATTATATTCCCTCGGCAACTGGATGAACTTGATTTAATCAAAGTCTTTTACTTAACACATAACAGCAGAACGGTATGCCTCCATTGTCTCATCTTTGGTACCATACTCCCTCGTCACCTACCGAATGATCAATTGTGAATCACTAAAAACAACTAGACTTTTGATCTTTAGTTCTTTGGCCAGCTTCAATCCTGCCAGCAATGCTTCATACTCTGCTTTATTATTGGTTGCTCGGAACTCGAGTCTAATCGCTTGACTCAACGTGATGCCTTCTGATGTCTACAGTTTGATCCCAATTCCTACCCCTATTTGATTTGAAGAGCCATCAACAAAAAGCTTCCATGAAGAGCTTCCAAGATCTTCTTCAATATATTTCACATAACATTCCAGCAGGAAATCAGCCATTGCTTGTCCTTTTATTGCCGTTCTGGGTTCATACGTGATATCGAATAAACTCAACTCTATGGCCCACTTTGTCATTCTTCCTGACAGATCTGGCTTATGCAGGATCACCCTTACAGGAAAAGTGGTCAGAACGTCGATATGATGAGATTCAAAATGGTGCCTGAATTTCCTTTTCATATTCACTAATGATAAGATCACTCATTCGGCCTTTGAATACCTTCTTTCCTGCTCGACCATTATTTTGCTAACATATAACACTGAGAACTGCTTACCCTCTTCACACTGCACCAGAACGGCACTTGTTGCAATACTGGACACGCCAAGGTATATGAAAAGTTTTTCACCTGGTTCTGGGGTAGATAAGATTGGAGGGTTCCGCATATATTCTTTTAAGCTAGTCAGTACTTGTCGCTACTTATCCCCCCAGACTTGCCTTCCATGGCCCCTTATTATCGAAGAATGGTTTGCATTAATCTGATAGCTTAGAAATGAACCGACTCAGTGCGGTTATTCGTCCGGTGAGTGCTTGCACCTCTTTAACTGTTCTTGATTCTACATTTTTTATCAGAGTTTCTGCTTGGGCTGAGTTAACTTTAATTCTTCTATTATTGACGACGTGTCCCAGGAACTGTCCAGAACCAACACCGAACGAGTATTTGGTTGGATTAAGCTTCATACCGTACCTCTTCAATACCCGGAACACATCTTGCAAGTGTTTTAAATGATGATATTTCTTTTACCACCATGTCATCAATATAGGCCTCTAAATTCTTTCCCATTTGACTTTTGAAAATCCTACTGACCAGTCTCTGGTAAGTTACTCTAGCGTTCTTTTGTCCGAACGGTATGACTTTGTAATAGTAGATCCCTCGTTCGAATACAAAAAAAGTTTTCTCCTTATCGTCTAGATCCATGGGAATTTGATTGTAGCCTAAGTAATCATCCAGAAAGATTAGCCGTTTATATCCATTAGTGGCATCCACCATTTGATTAATTTTTGGTAATGGAAAACAATCCTTTGGACAAGCTTTGTTTAGATTGGTGAAATCAATACAAACTCTCAATTTTCCATTCTTCTTCTGTACTATAACCATATTTAAGAGCTAAACCGAGTACTGAACTCTGATGAACCCTTTTTTATAAATTTATCAATTTCATCAACTATGATTTGATTGTACTCTGGGGCGAACCTCCTTTGTTTCTGTCTTACAGGCTTGGCGTTCGGATCTACATTGAGGGAATGGCGAGATACAGAGGGATTGATTCCTGGTATATCTGAATGGCTCCAGGAAAACACATCTGTGTTATGGGACAGGAAATCAACTAACTGTTGTTTCTCATCCTTTGAAAGCCCTAACCCTACGCTTGTGGTTCTGTCTGGCCTATGAGGATCTATCTGCACATTAACGAGGGGCTCTTCGGTAAGAACCAAAAGCTCTTCCTCCTCCCCAGTCTCTTTGGGTGGAGGCTCCTGTAATTGCTATCTTGGGTTATCAGATCAAACTGGAGCTTTTCTCTTCCCAGCAACTTTCAGCGTTACAGAGTAACACTCCTTGGTAGCGACCTGGTCCCCATGGATATCAATCACCTTACTTCCATTCGGGCTCAAGCATCTCATCACCTGGTGCAGAGTCCACGGGACACCCTGAACCCTGTGAATCCACCATTTTCCCATCAAAAGATTGTAAGACGGATGGATCTTGACGACCATAAAGCTTTTAATCAGATCTCTTTCAGTAGCTTATACTAACAATTCTAGAATACCAATAGGTTCCAATCGCTTCCCATCGAATCCCAACAAAGGATTTCTAGTGGGTTTGAGCTTTTCTGGCTTGATCTCGAGCCGGTCAAACGTTATCCTTGGCATGACATTCGTGCTGCTCCCCGGATCAATTAATACTTTTCGCACCAAGCACTCTGCCACTGTCAAGCTAACGACCAGAGGATCTTCATGAGGGATCCGAACTCGCAGCAAATCCGTTCTATCAAACTTTATCTGAAACGATGCTGGAGCAGAGCATTTACACTGCCTATCTTTTTCTTCATTTGCGTTTGACGGAGGTGATGAGTGCTGAATATTGTATATTCGAGCCCCTAAATATACGTATGTTAAGGCCTAAAGTGATACTTTTATCCATAGTTAGACTGATTTATGTTTAATGTGTGTTTATAGGTACTTTCCCAGAGAAATAGTTAAAACCGAGACTTTATGATGATATCAAAGCTTACAGAGTCGTTGCCGGTCATCCAGAGCAAGCTAAGAGCTTAAATGGTGAGGTTTGGAAGAATTCAAAAACCAGAGCTTGAGCCCAATTCCTGAGCCTCGAGCCTTGCAAGAATAAAAAGAAGAAAAGTTAATAAGGCATTGAAGTTCGAGCCTTGTACCTTTAGAGCTCGAGCCCTAATAGAGGGTGCTCAAGCCTTACCTCAGGGTGCTCAAGCCTTGGCCCTCAAGCTCAAGCACAAGGCGTCGGAATTTGAAGAGTTGATTTAAGGGAAGAACCAAGCTCCCAGGACCTCGTGCCAGACCTCAAGGATCGAGCACTATCATTTAAAGCTCGCGCCTTGAGTACCTAAAGCTCGAGCCTGGTACCTAGTGCTCGAGCCCAAGAAGCTTGGATCAACCAATGTTAAAAGAGATGAATCCTAAAAATATTCTAAGTATTGAAGGAAAAGACGTTTCAGAAAATAGTTGAAGAAATTTGGCTAAGTGTCAAAGTGAAGATTGAACATCATTCCTTGAAGCTCGAGCATTAATCCAGAGAAACTCAAGCCTTGTTCCCAAAGCTCGAGACCGAACCTCAAAGCTCGGGCTTTACTTCCTAAAGCTCGAGCTTTCCATGATAGATTAGATTTCAAGTTACGGGATTATTCATTTTCAAGTCGTATTTCACTCCAGATGGGCCAGATGACCTAAAAGCCCACCAGATCTTTATTTTCTTCTATAAAAGAAGGCATAGACCTTGATAGAAGGGGGTCCGAAATTCCAAATCCTTTCTCTCGTTTTATTTAGAAGGCTGATACTATGGTGGCTTTTAAGGTTTCTATAACTTTAGAAGGTGAAGATCTCGAAAAGAGAAGTGTCATCCGTGACGATAGAGATGACTACAACACAGATGATATTCGACATCGTCATGAGTAGTTAATTTCTCTCTTAGGGCACTGATGTAACCCAATCTAGTACTATGGTTTGATTGTTTTAACTCTGCGATATTTTTAATATATTATGTTTTTGACTATGAGCAATTGAGACAACTCAATTGGATTTAATGTTTTAAATAGTTTTCGAATTATTATTACTTTGTCTTGGATATAACTGTTCGTTTTCTATTCTCAACCTATTCTTATTAGACGGTATCTAGCGGAGCCCTGCCGGATATAAGAATGGGGGTAATGTAATAGTAGTCTAACGTTTTTTATAAAAGAATGTTTTCATAGTCTATACTTAGGAAAGATAGATTGTTTACAAAGTAATTAAAGTAGTTAGAGTAAGTAGGTGGATAGTCCATGCTAACTGCAGATAGGTTATAGTTAACTACATTTTATAAAACATCTTTCTTTATTGAGTTCAATTCATTTGAAATACAATGTGATTAAATCCCCAGAGTTGAAATAGTTAACCATAGTTACAAAGACTGTGATGAAGTTAAAGCCCTAAGACCTTTCTCTCTGATCACTCTAGTTTAATTTTAGTTTACTTTCAGTTTGTAATTGTGACAACCAATCAATCAATTCAATCAGTTACATGTAAATTACTAATAAAAATTAGTTAAAAGCAGAACATAATAACTCATCTCCCTGTGGGTTCGACACCCTCTCTATAGTGCTATCCTACAAGGATCCGTGCTGTTGCGAGTGGTTAATTTATAAGTGGTATACAAAAACACACAACAAGAGGTGAGTTCGGAGCAGTTCTTCTGATTCCTCGGTCGGCTCAGGTCGGCCATGAATTGCATTTATTATCCGAACAGGTTGAGCGTTGTGGTAGTTCGGCTTCTGATTTCTTTTCACTTGTTCAGCCAGTCGATTCTGCTATACTGCCGACCTTTGAATGTATCCTGTGAACTCTCCCTTTGCTATCAGCATCTCCACTTGCCTCCTTAAGTTCCTGCATTCATTAGTCTAATGACCAAAATCACTATGGAAAACACAATGTTTAGACTGATCTCTCTGTTCGAGTGGTTGTCTAATTGATAGGGGAGAACGAAACTTATCTTTGTTTTCTTGATACAACCTTACCAAAGTGACTTTGAGTGGAGTGACCGACTCCTCTTTTTTAGGCCTCTTTTCTGCTTTTCAGGAGTTCTGACGCTGTGGTGGAGCTTATTTTTGTCGGATCTTTGTTTTGGACTTCTCCTCCGTCGTGATCATGGATGTCTTTCTTGCATTGGCAGCTTCTTCTTCTTCTTCCAAGCGCACAAAACCAT